TATAAATGACATTGCATTTCTGTGTAACAGGATCAGATTTCTTTAGCACACATTGGTGCAGGTTCTCTGTCCTTCCAGTTGGAAATAAGATTGATTCTGTTAAATGCTATAACTCTTGGTTTAAGCTTGTATATTTGTTCTTTTCTTACCAGAAAGTGATTAAGTGTGGAATTTCCATCACACAGCCCTGTTACAAAAGTGCTGAATCTGGGTCTGGCCCTTTAATTTAGTGGGAATGCTGATACAGCATTCCAACTATATGTTATGCTACAGACAAAAAGTGTATTATTATTCCATCCAATTATTTTGTCCGTCTTCTCCTCCCACATTCAACATCGCAGAAACTCCGTTCAAACATCAAAACGTTCAGCTCGGTCGGGAATCGACTGCTATTACTTTTATCATTCATAACTTTCAGAATTCCAGAGATACATCCCATAATTCATCAAATGTTTAACATTGAAGTCAATGGAGATATTCTTCAGACTTCAACAAATCTTCATGCGACTTCAACTGCTAACTGTTCATTCATACTTTCACTCAGAAACCTCATTCCAACTTTAAAATGTTACACATCTTTCTGACATTATTCGTGTAAAACAACTTCTAAATCTGATTCTTACTTTTAGAGATATTAAACATTGTTCAGACCTTGTTAAAGAGGTTTTCTTCAGATTTTAACATTAACTAGAGTGCGTGATGTCACAGCTAGAGGGTAAGAAATCTTGAAATGTGCCTTCATATTTTTTTTTACAACTGCCATAATTCCCAAACCCTACATTCTTGAGACATACGTTTTCATGACAAACGTAGGAAAACACCTCGTAGCTTGAAAAATGACAAATAATTAAACAAAATGCCTCTTGAGGGCATGAAGTGACAAAAACGTTCAACATGCCTCCATTAAAGCCCATTGTAATTTCAGGCAGATATTTCCTCACAGCAGCAGCCGCACACCTTTAGTTAAACTGCCAAAAAGGCCACATTATTAACCCGAAAGTACACAAAAATTACACCTCAGATACTCAACTTCCTTGACATGCTTCACGTTTTGAAATTTCACAGATATCTGTTATCGTTCTTCCACAAAACGTTCACATGTAAGAGGTTTATCTGTCATTCAGAACAATGCAAACCTCTGATCTCTTCATAGCTCGTTAGCTCGTGATACCTATGCAAATGATCCAAACACCACCAGACTTCAGATGACAGTTAATGGTCCAGCCCTCAACATGTCTATATACCATTAGTGAGTTTTCCTCAAAAGCTGTTGCCATGGCAACGCATCCCTTGCAATAAAACACGATATTGCTATAACTCCTATTGTCAAAAAGTGCTAAAACTTCACATGTGTGCTAACAGTCCAGCCGTGAAGACATCTACGGGAGTTTTGAGATTTCTTCAAATGCCGTTGCCATGGCGACAGACCACTCGCCATGAAGCACGATGTCGCTGTAAGTCCAATGGACACGGTCCGATCGTCCCCCAATCTTCACTTGTATATCACCGGTCCATGCCTCAACAGCTCTACGCGAGCTCTTGGAGAGCAAGACGGAGGGGAAGGCGAGCCGGAGCGGCGGTAAAGTTCCGCAAGCTGACAAAAGGCCGCTCCTCGTCTAAACTGTGCACCATCTCCATGACAGCTGGCCCCAGGGTGAGGCCGTAATGCCTCCGTCCTATTCTCCCAGCATCAACATCACATCTACCCGCGTTTGCCCCTGCCAAACGTCAATTCACAAAACTCACCAGTGTGGCTTCAGTGCCTGGGTGTCCGCATCGAGGGCCAGGGGGCTCTGGAAATCGACCATCGGCTCGTTTCGGCATGGCTCCTGTGTCCGGCTGCCTGCGCCCACTGCCTCGGGCCTCGAAGATAGGAAGAGCCGGATCTGACTCCGTATCCTTCTGTTTGTTGAACGCCAGATCCATTACAAACAAATCCTTTGTATTAAATGACTACGTCGTCTCAAGAGAGCTGGATTTTATGTTTGTTTCGGAGTCCTGGCAGAAAGCCGGGGAGTTTGCCTCCTTGAACGAACTTTGTCCGCCGGGCTACAGCTACTCCTGTGCTCCTAGGCGCACCGGCCGAGGAGGAGGACTTGCCGCGTTCCACAGAGACTGCTTCTCCACCAACATGGTGAGCACTGGATCCTTCCCAACATTTGAAGTGCTAATAACAAAAGTGGGTCGCTCAAACCCGTTTTATTGTATTTTAATCTACCGCCCTCCAGGCAAGAATAGCTATTTTTTATCCGATCTTGGTGACTTACTAACCTCCATCATCCGCTATGAAAGAGTTCTTCTGTGCGGGGATTTTAACATTCATGTAAATGACTGCTCAGACAAATTTGCCAGTGATTTCCTTAATGTCACCGAATCTTTTAACTTCTGTCAACATGTGTCTGGTCCAACGCATGACAAAGGTAACACATTGGACCTCGTGTTCACAATTGGTCTAAATATCAGCAATGTCTGTATCGAAGACCTATCTATTTCCGACCATAAAGCCGTACTATTTGTCATGTCGTTGGATAACGCTTATGTTCAGGGGAAGCGAGTAAAAACCTCGCGTATTTTAAATGGCGCAGCGGTTGAGAAATTTGTAACAGCTTTCGACAACAATGTTTTGGTGTCGCATGTTGATGACGTTGATTGTCTAGTCAATGCTTTCAATACACACTGCTCCGCCATTTTAGATGACGTCGCTCCCATGGTGACACGCAGCTCCCTGGCTGTAAACACATCCCCCTGGTTAACAGAGGACACCCGTATACTGAAACGGCATTGCCGCAAAGTTGAGCGGCTGTGGAAAACCACTAACCTTCAGGTACACCGTCTCCATCTGAAGGACCTTTACTGCGATTACAACAATTTGGTCAAAAATGCCCGGGCTACCTATTTTTCTAACCTCATCTCCTCTAGTAAGCACAACCCCAGAGTACTATTTAAAACCATAAATACCATTGTAAACCCGTCCACCCCCTCAGTTCCTATTTATTCAAACGACGACTGCGACCGTTTTCTCACCTTTTTTATAAACAAGGTAGCTGATGTGAGGTCGAGCATCAACCACTCCCACTCCCCCCTCCCTATCTGTCCAGTTAGGCAGGCCACGCTGAGTAATTTCTCCTGCATCACTATAGCGGACCTGACCGCTGTAGTGAGCACTATGAAATCTTCCTCAAGCCCTCTGGATGCCTTACCAACGTCTATGCTAAAAGAAGTTTTTTCGTGTGTCGCTCCACCCCTGCTCCACATTATAAACTTCTCCATTGTCTCCGGCTCCGTCCCATCATTCTTTAAACAGGCGGTTGTTCAGCCCATTCTCAAAAAACCCAATCTAGATCTCTCCCTCCCGAATAATTACAGACCCATCTCAAAGCTCCCATTTGTGTCAAAAGTTTTAGAAAAAGTTGTTGCTACCCAACTCAATACATTTCTGAATGATAATAAAATCCACGACAAATTCCAATCAGGTTTCATAAAACACCACTCCACAGAATCAGCTCTCCTCAGGGTCTCCAATGACATCATGATGGCATCGGATGCAGGTGATTGCGTGGTTCTGGTGTTGTTGGACCTGAGTGCAGCGTTTGACACAGTGGACCACGCCATCATGCTAGATAGACTCAGGGAGTGGGTAGGCATCTCAGGGTCTGCCCTCCAGTGGTTTGCCTCGTACCTCAGTGGGAGAAGTTTCTCCGTGGCGGTGGGCCCGTTCTCATCACACAGCACTCCCCTATCCTGCGGCCTGCCCCAGGGTTCTGTTTTAGTCCCCCTTCTTTTTGCCCTGTACATGCTCCCATTGGGCTGCATAATTAGCCAATTCAAGGGTGTCTCATATCACTGTTATGCCAACACACTCTCACTCCCAACGCGTCCAGGAGCGACGCTTGGTCAGAATTCCGTGGCGTCCAGTTGTGACGCGCCGAGTTTCCATCAGCGTCATAAACGGATGCAAAGAGCTTTCAACTGATTGCAATGTATTCCCATCGGCGTCGGTATTTGACGCTTAGGGAAGCACGGCATTCGTTTGTGTCGGCAGCTGTTAAAAGTGAGCGTCCATTCCCATTGGATAACGGAGAATTGTACACCCGGAAGTAAGTATTCTCCTTACTGTCGATTGATTTGACAGTGATATCTCCATTACTCATCCACTCAAAAACACCAGATTACCTTTGTTAATTAAACGACATTGATAGGTTTAAATTGTGTACAATGCTTTTGTGTTTTTCCCCTACAATTCTGAGACAACTTGTTTTCTCTGAAATGTGGAGCGCCAAAGAGACTACACTACCCACAATCCCCAGCTATTGTTGTGACGACTTTTGAGTTTTGGATGGCCGAAGACACTACACTACCCACAATCCCCAGCTATTGTTGTTACGACTTCTGTCCGCTTTGCGATTACATTACCCACAATCCTCAGGTACCGTCGTTAAGACGGCATACCTTTGCACTTTACGTGACCAAACCTGGATCAGTCGCAGTTCTTCAGAATCAAGGTAAGAGCATGGGTAACACATAGTTATAGGAAATAAACTTAGCCACGAATAATAATAATAATAATAATAATAATAATAATAATCTAATCGGCGCCAATGTTGCTTCTGGCACCTTTCTGAGGGGTATAGTAACTAAATAATATAGGGTATTACCTAAATATAACAAATGAACTCGCCTGAGCTAGCTTGCTAGCTAGCTAGCTAGAACACGCACTGCAATTTCTCCATAGAATTTTGGAAAATAGCTCGAAATAAGGTCTGTGGTTGACACACATTTAAGAGACGGATCACGTTTTGTTCAGCCGGATAATCTCCACTCTACTAGGATATTACCTAAATATAACAAATGAACTCGCCTGAGCTAGCTAGCTAGCTAGCTCAGAGACGGATCACGTTTTGTTCAGCCGGATAATCTCCACATGTTTCGAATTTTCGAATCGTAAATCTATTAATAATACTTTGTATACATGTGTTTTTAGTATTAATAGTAATAATACTTTTATAATTGTTGTACAAATGACTTATTTAAATGACTGGTGGCAGTGATTTTGCTGTGCGATGGTGTGAAAATACCTTTAATGACAACAGTAGTAAGCATTAATTGGTTATTAGCCAAGTAGAAAATTGTAAACAACAACAATTACACTGGCATTGTCATTTTATTTTTGAGTTTCTAAATTATGTTGTTTTCTCTCAACAGATCCTGCAATTTGTTCTCCAAAAAACAACCCTTTGTTTTTTCAAACTCCAAACAACCCAAAGGCACTTTTAAGAGCCAAGTCTGTCTTGTTAAACTGTCCTTGCTGTGTTGTACTTGATAGTCTCTTCCTATCTCTCTATTTATTTCTCTGTCTAACTCTGTTGTCAGTCTTTCTTCTGTGTCTCTGTCTGTGTCTCTTCACTATAATGAGTGATTCTGATCTTGAGGATCTCCTGAGAAGCGCAGATGAGCTGGTTGAGCAGAAAGAGTTAAGGGATGACCTACGGAGTGCTGATGATTTGCTTTGTAAAGTGGAAGCGGCAACAACAGCAGCAGCAGCAGCAGCAGCAGCAGCAGCAGCAGCAGCAGCAGCAGCAGCAGCAGCAGCAGCAGCTGCAGCAGTGCCAGCAGTGTCAATGATGTGCTGGAAGAAGAGAGACAGTGAGGGAAACTTGATCTTTGCAAGACCACGTTCAACCCGGAATGTCTCAAATCAGGGTCAGTATAAGATATATATTTCTAGGCACTTGAGTATATGAAATGAATGAAAACATAACTCTTGGTAAGGGAAAAGTATTACAATTTAATGGTATAAAATAAATGTTTTTTCTGATACAGCTGGCTGCAGTCGTAACACTGATCCCCCCGTTGCTGCTCCTGACCCTGACTGTGATCTGATCTTTGCTCCAGCTATCGCTCCAGAGACTGTTGGTATGTACTTCATTTGGTCTGGTTAGCCCGAAACACATATTCATACTTGTATCTTTATGTGATACGTACTTCATTTCTAAACTTCATAATTTGCTAGAATTAAGAACACAGTAGTTACAGCTTTCAAAACCACTCCATCCAGTATGTTTTAAAGAAAACTAATCATTGTGCTTTGGACTTTATTGTACCGTTTTAACAGAGGGGTTTCTACGAGATCTCCAGCAGTCTCTGAGCGATACTACAGGAGATGAGGTGGTAGCACAAACCCCAAGTGCTTCTCTGCTGGCATCGACCAACTGGAGCACTCGAAAAAGTTTTTTTTCAGAGAGCTGGAGGGCAGCGAGACCACATCTGGTTAACACCGTAGTGGCCCAAGCAAATGTGGGAACACACATTTGCCAACAGTGTTGGAGCAAAACGTCTGTTGTCCGGTGCCGGGATTGCCGACCACATCCCTTCTTCTGTGCTGACTGTGATGTCAGCATGCACACCAGACACCCCCTCCACAACAGAGATGCTACTACTGCAGGTTACTTCCAGCCATTGGCCCCAACAACACATGTACTAAATATGGCCCTTTGCTCCTGTGGTAAGTTCTGGTTTGTGAATGTACATTTTCTTGCTGGACTTGTTGAGAATTTCATTTTGAAAATGTGAGCTTCCTCAACATCTCTGTGTTAATTCCCAGCAGTGTGCTTAAGTCTCTTTGTAATGTTCTGATGTAAAGTTAAATCCTAAATATGTCACATAACAATGTAGTATTTTTAAAAAGAGACAAATTATTTTTAATTCCCATTTGAATTTTTTTCCAGTGCGGTTTGTACCTGTGGAGATCCCGGACAAAATCTGTGGTTGTGCATCAGAGTCATTGAGCCTCAAGCCAGGAAAGACTGTGACTGTGATCACAGTGAATGGTAAGAATGGGAGGAATGTTTGTCTTGTTTCTTAAGATAGATGTTATTGAAGTTTCTTCTTGATAATATCCAACCCTTCTCAAAGACATGTGGGATAGCTTGTCTATTAAACCTTAACATGGGTATTGAGTAAAGAATACCAAATGTATTAAAAACACCTTGTCTGTTTTTCAAGGACGACATGAGCTAAGCATGCCAGAGTTGGCTTGTGAAGCATGCGCTGCGACATGGACGACTGGGGTTGACGACCTTCTTCGGAGTGACTACTGGCCAGCTACCCTTCACTTCGCCACCATTTATGCCACAGATGTTTTCTTCTCATTTGAAGAAATGAAAATGGCTGCACCTGGACTATCCTTTCAGGCATATTTAAGGATGCTCGATCAGCGAACGTTGCGCTTCGGCCGTGTGAGTATTGAAGTTACTTGTCCTTTTTGATCTATTTGTATTGTACAAATTGTAAGCTGTGTCCTTATAATTTATAATCTATTTTTGACATAATTATCTGTTGATGTCCTTATTTTGTTATAGACTGGGAAGATCTCAACTGACAGCTTCATCAAAAGTTTCTTTGAGTGGGAGGCTGTGCGTTATGAGGTCGACATCATGTGCAAGGAGGAGCCCTTCACCTGTCCTGCGTGTAGCCCTGATATGCTTGCAGTTTCCGTGGATGGAAACCGCAAGCATTACCGTTTCAAGAATGCAGCTAGGTACTATAGAAAATATATAATGTCACAGTATTTGAACAAATAACGAAACAAAAGTATCTTGATGTGAACCAATCAATAATCTGAGATGTCATACATTGCTCCTTTGATTTATTTAGATCTGAGGAACAGGCCATCTTTGACGGTGTCTTTATAGCCAGGGATGAAGACGTCTCAAGATTTGTGGACTATATACACACCACAACCAAACATGTAATATTGCAGACTCTAATTATGTATAATATAATATCCTAATGAAGGGTTTGGTTAGGTTAGTCTTTGCACCATTTTCATCAATACATTTTTATATATTAGGTCTCCGGAAGAGGTGTTTGTGGAGGACAGTGGTCGGCAGCCAGAGAGACCTCCCAAAAATCAGCCGGCAAGCTGGATGAGGAGGGACTAGAGCTTGCCGTCTGTCGACATGGAGTGCTCCTCTGTGCTCTCAATATGTACAGGGGAGAAATCTTTGCTTATCCCCTGTACCTACAGAAAAAGCTGGCCAGTAGTATGTTCTTTTGCATGGATGTGACCTGCAAATATTGGCCCTACCTCCAGAGAATCACAAAAAGCTGTCCAGAGCTCCAGCATCTTCTCGACATGAAGCCCTTTCTCTCAGTGTTTCATGCCAAAGCGCATGACTTCAAATGTGAAGTAAGGAATTGTTACCATGTGACACAATCACTTTATGTAAAAACCTCCTTGTGAATAGTGACAAGTTGTAACGAGTCGTACTTTTGAATATATTTTAAACAGGTGAAATGGAGTGGGGCATATCAAGAGGGGGCTGGACTAACCCTAGGGGAGGAGGTGGAACAGGTCAATGCCTTCCTCTCTCGGATAGCAGTGACCACAAAACACATGTCAAAAGCAGGTGAGTTACGAACCTTTACTGTCAGTTTTCAAAAAATGTTCAGAAAGGCACAGATTCCACTAACAAATTACACCAACAACAGAAACTCATAAAAGCTCATTGACGGTTATGACCATAGAACACCATTTAGGATGGCAATATAGTATAAACCCCAGTTACAGTATAAGAAGTAAGAGGAATAGTAATAATGTGATATTCTCTTTTGCAGGACGTACAGACATGCTGACGCTGATGGCCATGCGCTGGAATCAGCAAAAAGTCAGCAACTTGGCCACCTCACTGTCCCGCAGATATCTGAAGGTAATAACATAGTTTTAGAAGAATTATTTGTGGCTGCAGCCTAAATGTAGATTTCTGTATTTACTTGTCTTTAATTGTTTGACGTTTGTAGACCACAAAAGCTCTGGAAAAGCAATTGCAGAACCTGGAGTCCATGAAGGCTGAGTTGGCAGTGACTGAAAAGCAGCTGGAAGACTGGGTCAGAGATGTGAATGAGTGGGCAGAAAGTGAGGACAATCTTAATGACGTTTTTCAACTTTTTTGTAGTCATGATTTATCAATTTATTTTAAATTTTCAGAATTAGTGATAACCCTCTATTGACATTTGCATTACTTATTTTTCATGAAGCATATGTAATAAAATAATATTAAAACATTTGATCAAATGTCACTGTTATTGTGAATTACTGTGCTTAATACACCTATTTCCTCTAAAAAGCAACAACAAACAACCCAAGGGATGCTGCTGCCTTGGCCAGCAAGATTGAAATGCTGACAGTAAGTGTCAAGAGACGTTCGCAGCGTCTCTACAAAGACACAGACAGCAACAAAGGTCGTTCCCGGATCCGCCGCAAGATCAGGGATGAGAAAGGGGTCCTGACAGCCACAGTTGAGAAATACAACTCAATGGTTCCAAGCACAGAAGCGCTGTGCCTCGAAGCCATTCTGTCTGTGGAGAAAGCTTGGCCATGGCAGCTACCAAACAGTGGTAAGTACACCAGTCTGCTGAATGCTCACAGCAAATGTGGAAAACCTTCATGTCTGATATATAAATCTATTTAAGACTTCATAGATTCTTTGAATGTTGATCTTTCATACACATTCATTCATGTTTTCTCATAAATGCTTTGCAGACTCTTTCGACCTCAGGACAAAGAGAAGAGCATTCGACCTTGTCATGGCAGTGAAGAGACTACAGGAGGAGAAGAAGATTCTCGTCACAGAAATGAACCAACACTGGAAGGTCCTTTCAACCCGCAGTGATTCCCTGAAAGAGATGTCCTGCCTGCAAAGTACAGTATATATTACATTTTTACTTTGCATGACTTTACACATCAGTGATAGGTGATGAAGTAACTCATATTGTCTTTATCTTATACATTTAAGATTCACCATTGGGCCTGAGCGAAGACGGGATGAAAGGTCTCCAGAGCATGTTTAGGAAAAAGCAGCACGACATCGGAGAAATGAAGACTCATGCTAGACGATGCTATCTGCAGCTTTTGACTGGAGCAGAGACCATCAGCTTCTTGCAAAGTCTTTCAGATGAGTCTTCTGACTGCGACTCTGACAGCTCTGATGACACACGGTGAAGCCCCCTCCAGACTACCTTCTATTTAACATCTACATGCTCCCCCCTGTGAAATACTCCGCCAACATGGTCTCAACTTCCACTCCTATGCCGACGACACCCAACTCTACATCAGCACCAATCCATCATCCCAGCTGTCACTAGTCAACTGCCTCCGCAACATCCAAACCTGGATGTCAACAAACCTACTGAAACTCAACAAAAACAAAACAGAGCTCATGGTTGTGGCCCCAAAAACACTGCTCCGGGAGGTTGGAGATCTGCTCCTCACCGTCGATGGCTGCTCCATCCAGCCTGGGCGTCACTCTGGACTCTAGCCTCACCTTCAACTCCCACATCAGGTCTACTGTCAAAACTGCTTTTTTTCACCTTCGAAACATCTCCAGACTCCGGCCCTCTCTCCCCGACCCTGTTGCAGAAACATTAATACATACCTTCATCTCCTCATGCCTGGACTACTGCAATGGAGTTCTGTTCGGGGTCACCTGCAAAGCCCTGGACAGGCTCCAGTACATCCAGAACTCTGCAGCCAGGCTCCTCACCCGCACTAAGCCCTGGCAACACATCACCCCCATCCTCCTCCACCTTCACTGGCTCCCGGTCAAGTCACGCATCCAGTACAAACTCCTCCTGCTAACCTACACATCTCTCCACTCCCTAGCCCCTGCATACATCTCTGACCTCTTTCAGCCCTACACCCCCTCTCGTCAGCTGCGGTCCTCCGACAAAAAAAAATGACACATTTCTTAATGTCTTAATATGTATGTCCAGTAAGTTATTCTTCCGGTTGTTGATATGCTGTTGAAGACATTTTCTATCATTTCATTTTATTCAGATGTTATTACATGTCTACTCTGAAACACTATGTAAACAAGGTCCCATAACAATAAAGTTGATAAAAATTGTTTTGACTGTTCACTCATGTTCTGTTTGTATCTCTGTTTAGCAAACACACATACTGATTAGCACCATGAGGGGGCGGATAAACCTTTTTGTCTGATGTTTTAAAATATGTGCAATAATATAGCTATATCCTGTATATATCACATTTAAAACAACCTTCAGTTGACCAAAGTGCTGTACAAGCAATAACTACAATATTAAATAACACAATAGGAGTACAATAATTAAAAACATGATAAAAAGCACAATAACTAGAAACATATATTTTTTTTAAACATACAAATGTAAAAATGTAATGTTCAACTAGTATTAAAAGTAATGACTAACATGAATAAAACATCTTCAGGTGTTATATATACATATCTGTCCTACACTAATAATGAAACAGATAAAATGGCATTGTATTCTGTGTTCCTCATCAATTACCTTTCAAACACCTCATCAGTTGCCTGTTTTTGACTTAGCTTACATAATTAGCCTACACCTGGTACAATGCCTTAGCCTCATATAGTCCATATTTAGCTTGATAATGGTAGTTAGATATGTAAATTAACATAATGTGTTTTGATAGCATTGTAAACCATGTGTACTTTATACGTCTGTATTATTCACCTAGTGGTTAAAGCACGTTATTACACGTTTACAGTCATTGCAATGCCGGTAAGGTTGTGTTGCTAATCTCTGCTGCATGTTTTGTTGAATGGGTTACATTTGATGAAAACATTTAAATATTAAGAGTACATACAAATAGGGGGAAAGTAGAAGGTCAATGATAGAAATATAGAATAGAAAATATCAACAAGATAGGCTACTGTAAGTGATCTCTACAATAAAAGTTTAGTGCCGGATGTACACAGATATTAATAGGAGGATGTGCAAATCAGGCAAACTAATTAGGCTTTATTAAAACATTAAATAATACTTTAAGTTAAGGTCTTCTTTTAAATACATGTAAGCAAAAAGCTTTGGTAAATCTACAGATAAATATTAAGCCTGATAAAGTACTTAAAGTCTAATATTCAGGGTTGCCAACTTTGGGTACCTGGCTGGAGTGAGATTTTGATATCATGGGTTTAATTACACATATGCGCACTAAATGACTGCTATCATGTCAG